TCCAGAGATTTCAGTTTAAATGTCTTCTTCCTTGTTTTATGCATCTGTTTTAATAATGGACCACAAGTTGTTTGGTGGATTCATATCTGGAAACTCGGGTAACCATTAATTGAATCTGGTGTTTTAGACACAGTAGGTAATAATCAGTTTTGCAGATTGGGAGAAAAATGTGTCTTAGATAAATATACACTTTAACCTATACCTGCTGTGTTACCATACAAAGAACTAATAGAAAATCCAAGAACTTATAATACTTTTCTGCGTTTAACTTGAAATTATCGTATTTGGAAAGCATCTATAATTTCTACTACCGAAAACAACAAAACAAATCATAGCACCCAAACACTTATTATATTCATAATCCTGTTGCTTTCTTGATTCCCTGAAGGATCAATTAATACACTAATCATCAGCTATAATCTTGTCATATGCAGGAATCTCGTAGATATTTCTATAAAAACGTAATCATATATTTTATGAATATCCTGTATTTATGCAATATTGTTTCCTATGTACGGTATCTCGTCAAGACATAAGTCATCATGGCTCTCGGTAACATTTCCTATTCATAGTGGCCTTAGCTGTGTTGCTCAGTTTGATCCTCCAGCTAAGTATCATTCCGAAGAAAAACATTTCTGTTGTGATATGTTTCTCTTCACATGTGGAGAGATTGTATAGCATTCATACATTCTTATATTCCATATAAAAGGTTGAATATCATCTTATAAAAATATTACTGTTGCGAAATATGTTTTCAAGTAATTCTTCACTAAATTCGACATTTTCTTATTGTAATTTTTGCTTCATTGATAGCGAATACATTTCGTCAATCTATACCTTAAAAATGTTCGCTTGTCCATCACAAACAGACTCCGAGTGACTTTGCATGGATGTATCGTATTCATATGCGTTTATCTGGGTTGAGTGTGAATGACTTATACGCGTTATGCAGTTTAACTTTATACACGCACACAAACATGCAAAAAAATTGACTGAGTTGCAAACAAGTGAAATAATACATTGCATTCTCACTCAGTAGAAATAACTAAGAATATGGACTGGGAATCCAGTCAAAAAGTTCTAGAAAAATATTTTTTAAACATAAATTAACAAATCCTTAAAAGAATAATGAAGTTTTAGACAATTAATAGAATTATTATTTAAAGAATTATCTTTCACTTTGTAAAAAATAGTTTTAGGGATTTTATTGAATTACAATATGCATTTCCTAGACTTCATGAATTTAAGGGTTCTACTTGGCTGTCATCTCGCTTTCACCCTTTCACTGTCGAAATAGTTACATATAGCAATTTCTTCTACTTCAATAGCTTCATGTCTCGCACTTCTCGCCTGTGGAACTCCCTCCCGTTTTCCTGTTTCCCTGATAGCTATAATCTCCAATTATTCAAATGCAATGCCAATCGACGTCTCCAGATGCCTTGATCTATCCCCTATCCTTCTCTTCATCCTTTCCTCTATCACTCCTATTTGCTCTCACTCCAAATCTCTGTGACCCCTTGCGTGCTAGTGGCTTCTCGCCTTGCTTGCGGTGAAACGCTTAAAAAAATACGCAAATCAAACGCAAATACGTGCACAGTTTGAAGGAACATGAAATGGACATATTTGTATTTATTTTTTGAAATCCTTCTGAATTTAAAGTGAACATGTTTTACAATTATTATATTATTTTAAACAAATAAATCATATAGATTTGAGATCTGATCATCTTGTCGTCAGCGAAGCGAAAGACACCGAACTAGTGTTTTTAATATTGTTCAACTTTCATCAAATATTTCCGTTTACATCATTCCACCATTCCCTCAGATTAGTCTTTTTTTTTTTCAAATATTGTCTGTGACCTTTTGATAGTAAATTGATTTTCTTCTGATCTTGCCAATGTTTTCATTTTCTTGATTATTCTGTGATCTCTTTCACGATTTCCGGCAGTGTCCTTAATGATTCCACAAATTCTGAATTCTTATTTTACTTTATATCTTTCTTACAACTTACGCTAATATTTATAATTATAATTTTTTTGAAAATAGTCTCAATACAAATACTAAGAGCTAGAAAGGACAGGAAATATTAGAGAGCCATGATCACCAACATCCTGATGAGACAAACAAGAGGAAGAAGAAGGAGACGCAGAAGGCGAATAGAAGAAGATGTAGGAGGAGAGAAGAAGAAGGAGGAGCAGAGAAGAAGGAAGAGGTCGATGAGAGAAGGAGGAGGATCAGGAGATGAGAGTGGATAAGAAAGCGAAGAAGGAGAAGGGGAAGGAGAATGAAGCGCAGAAGAAGAAGGAGACGAAAAAGAAGATGTAGGAGGAGAGAAGAAAAAGGAGGGGGAGCAGAGAAGAAGGAAGAAGTGGATGAGAGAAGGAGGAGGATGAGAAGAGGGTGAATGAGAAGAAGAAGAAGAAGAAGAAGAAGAAGAAGAAGAAGAAGAAGGGGAAGGAGAATGAGGCGCAGGAGGAGAAAAAGTAGGAGGAGGAGAAGAAAAGGAGAAATAGAAAAAGATGGAGGACAAGAAGAAAAATGGAGAAGGACAAGAAGATTGATTAATTTGTTTAACGTTTACTGCAGAAATTTAATTTCCTTCGATGCCTTGGAGTAATACAAATATGATATGTTATTCTGCTTTCACAATTGAATACATGGTAGATGATACTCAGATTTTGTGAATATACATGTTTGTGTGGATATATTTACTAGAGGCGGTAATATGTGTTTTTGGCCTAGTATATTATATGGATTAATGTCATGAAACGCTTCTTTTATGTTGGATGTTTGATTAATTTTGTTTAGCGGCGTATCAATTTTTATTGGTTATTTAATGCCATATCTAAATAATTTGAAAAAAAATTATGACATCAACTAAATTGAACGCAATTGTATGCATTCAAATTAAAATATATTGCTGATTATTTTGCTTTCAAATGTATTGTTGGTCATTTTTCAAATAAAAATGTATTGCTGGTATTTTTACTAAAAAATTTTTTTTACTAAAATGTATTTTTATGCTTTCATAGTATCTTGTTTGGGGGTTCACTAATTGTCCATAGCTGGTACCCTAACAGGTGGTACTGACACCGGTCAGAATAAACCTAGGATCAACAGCAATTTGAAAGTGGTTCAAAGTTCCTCTAAACCTCCAATCTGTTGATCTGAGTTCCTACTAACGGATGTAATTTATCGTCAGGAAGAAGATAATATATATTGAACAACTCTAGAGTTGCATAGTAAAACCGAACACCACTTAATAATATTTATAAATATTTCTAATAAATGATATTAGTAGCTGAAGTTGATATGGTATATTTATTATATCAATATACCCTGAAAAATTGCCAACATTACTTGATTAATTTATGGTTTCTTAATTTTATTAGGAAAAAATGACTTGCATAGTAAAAACTGAGATATTGTATGGCCATATAGTAAAATTACTCTAGGCTTTTCAACCACATACATAGCCACAAATATAGATAGAATAGAATAGAATAGAATAGAATAGATAGATAGATAGATAGATAGATAGATAGATAGATATTTGATTTCATGTACTTAAATATTTGGTCAAACAAACAAACGACAGTTTATGTTGGCGCATGTTTATAGACGGAAATAATTTGCATTTCCTTTGTGAATGATCACTGGGCGAAAATCATTTAATTTTTTAAATTATATTTTATCAAGGTATATCCATAAGGATATATTAATTCTACACGAAAGACATTGTTTTCCATAAATTCGCAAGTTAAATGAAGCAGTTATGCTGTTCAAAACAGTCATCTGCATTGTTTTTTCATATGTTAACATATATTTAAGTTAACATATTTTCATAAATTTATATAACCTATTAACATATGTATAACTTTCAAAAATAAATTTCAAGAGGTAAAGTTTCAGCGTTAACGCGTTTAAAATCTAAGAAGACCCTGCTTTCTAAATAAAACAAAGAGGACAATTATTGGCTCATATTCTTCACAGAATCGATTTCGTTCATTATTCTGTGTTCAGCAAGTTATTTTACTTAATATAATTATTCCGTTAACAGGTTAAAACAGTCTTAAATCGTCCTGATATGCGCCTAAAACCCGTTCCTAAAAATAATATATAGACAGCTTCAAATTGGTTGGTTCTTTTTCTTTGCTGGTATTTCAAAATCTATGGGTTATCTAAATATTTTTTGTATACATGGCCCAGTGGATAAAGACATTGTTTAGATCCAGTGACTGAACACAAAGAGTTGTGAGTTCAATACCAGGCCACAGCAGTGGTGAACCAATCTTGGAGAGTTGAGTTAAAAGGAAATAACTGAGACATCTGGAAGAGGCACGGCAGGTGGAACTAGAACAATCTACCAAGGTGGACGAAATAAAAGGTTCGGTTCGAAATTCCAATTACCTGAAGAATATCGGAGAGTACAACGGCCGAAACATTTTGAATATGGCAATGAAAATGAGGATAACATTCTGAAAAATGCAAATAATCATAATACCTAAGTTCAGAGCTATAGAGAGGTGTAGGACAATGATTGGCTGATATTCTTCACAGAATCAATTTCGTTCATTATTGAGTGTTCAGCAAATTATTCTAATTAATACAATTATTTAGTCAACAGGTTAAAACAGTTTTAATCCGTCCTGATATACGCCTAAAACCCGTCGCTAATAAAGAATATATATACAGCTTCAAATTTGTTGGTTCTTTTTGTTTACTGGCATTTCAAAGTCTATAGGTTATTTAATGCCAAAATCTAATTATATTTTTTGTACACGATTTTATTTTATATTTGGAGATAAAAACGATTTAGTGATACGCGTCTTACTAATTATCCCATAGCTGGAGGAGAAGAGGTGAATCCATACCATTCCCAAGAGAATTAGAACTTCAGCGAATATAACGAACCCAACTGGAATTGGAACTCAGGTCTCTGATAAACAATTCCGAGTCATTATCCATTACATCATCTACACATCATCTACACATCAAAAACTACAGCGCCTGGTATTCACACGCAGTCACCCACCTAGGTACTGAACAGGCTCGAGGTTGCTTAACTTCGGTGATCGTACAGGAAACGATTTCTTAACGTTATGTGGCCGCA